ATTCCAAAGGTGACATCAAGAAATATGGTAAAGTGGGTAGATCAGATGATCCATTTCCATGGAAAACGAAAGTTTTGAATTGATTGTAAAAAATGCCAAGCAATGGCAGCAAATTGGTTTTTTGAAGAAGAAAATGGAAATGAAGATGAAAGTATGAAGTATACGTACATTTATAGAGAGGTGAAGGTGAAAAGACAGAATATGATGTGCATTTATAGAGGGATAAAGGTGAAAAGACAGAATATGAGCAGCCATATTCGTGTCTAGTAAAGAACAGCCATATTCGTGTCTAGTAAATGGGATTAAGTGGCCTAAAGTCTAAAAAAAAAATGCCTAAGCGATTGACGATTAAAAGACAAACGTCAATAAATATACAAAAGGCTAAAATAATTATTCATTAACAATGATGGCTGCTTTTATATCAGTATAAGGTTATAAAGGGAAAGTCAATACGAAATTACAAAAGGAAAAAGTTAAGGCATTATATGTCTTAATTACAATTCGCCCCATATCAAACGAATTCTTTCCCTAAGTCTCTCCCAGTCCTCGCTTTGCCGAGAAGAAGTGATGTTCAATTCAGCCACAACATCATCATCAACTTCCAACTTCTTGTACTGCTCGACCAAAGACTTAGATCGCTCAATTCCTTGGAAGACATTACGCTTTTTAGCAGCTATTCTCGCTTTGCAATCGTCCATCTTGGCTTGAAGTTCCTTCATCTGAGCAGCCAAACTAGTCATCAAAGAGTCTTCAATCATGACTTCGGAAGAGATTTCTTTCAACTCGTCCTCAGCTTTGTTGATCTTCAGAAGCAAAGACTCTTTTTTAGATACGGCACCAAGATATTGAGTACTTTTGGCCTTCAGTTCAACATTCTTAGCCAGCAAGGAGAAGACCTCGGAATGGACAACTTTTAACGTCGCTTTAAAATCAGCAGAAAGATTGAGCGACGAAAGTGTCAATGCTCGCTCCAATTTTGCATTCAAATGCTCAAGCTTATCCTTATGCTTGGCAGCACTAGCCTTACCGATGTCCATATCTATGAAGGACACATACTCAAATATCTACTACTTGAGGAACTTCATATCTTCCTCTGAAGAAGTAGAAGGACAACTGGATGAAGCAGGGCGATGTGTCTTGACTTGCCCCCAGGAAGTGAACAAGTCTTGAATAGAACGCACAATTTTATCAGCATCCTGCAAAGAAAATCGCTAATATTGAAGGTGTCCACTACACTAAACAAAATGGAGGTAAAGATGAAGCAAAGATTACCTCATCCGCAATCTTAGAAGGTGGCATATCCCCAGCCAAACCTGCCACCTGTGGCTCCACCATTCGTGAGGACTTCCTCTTGTCTAGGCGAGAAGACCTTACCGCAACGGGCAGACTCATAGGAGCATCTGCAGAACTCAAAAGGCAACAAATCAAAACCGATAGCACAAGCAAAGGTAAAGCATCAAAAAATGAATTACCTTCTGCTTCGATATTTGGGGGGTTAACGCCCTGGGAAGAAGGTGGCTCGTCTATTGGTTGTGATGAAGATTCTGGGACTGAAGATTTCTCTTTGAGCATAGTCCCTTCATCAGCTGGTTTGGACGAAGTAGCCCCAGCAGAGGATGATGGAGCAGGAGCTGCCAACACCAAAGCCTTCGAGGGAGAGGCTGAACTTTTCTGAGAAGTCCAAATAAACTATCAGCACATAGGAAAGTTTCAAGTATGAAAAGGTATGCTTATGAGTAAACCAATTTAATTACATTCCTCCTGACGATGAGAGGGGTGTCATCATCATCATCCTCCAAAATGGGAGATGCTGAGGCTGGCCGTTTGCGGTTTGGGGCACTTTTAGCTGTAGAGGGCTTAGCAGGAAGAGAAGCCGATGGACGGGCAGACTGTTTAGCACGAGCAGAGGAAGAGGGACTCCTAATGGATACATGAGTGACCAAAACAGGAGAGGTGAAATAAATGTTTGGCTGGTCCAGTGAATGGAAAGCTCGATTGGCATTAGTCGCAAACAATCTGCGCTTCACTGACGACCAGAGTAGTTCAAAAAGGGGATGGATGGCGTGGCTAGGATTGAAGGGGGCTAATGAAAAGTTGTCCGTCAAAAGAATATTGCGAGCATTTATAGCCTTGGCCTCTGCCTTATTAATGGTATGGCGGTCTATCAAATTCCTTGAATAGTAAGGGGGAACGGGCCAAGTTTGGCTAAAACCAAGTTGGCAAGCAAAAAATTGGGGAGCATATATTTTTACCCCAGCTTTGGCATTGGTCCCAGTCAAAATATCATGGAACAATTCCCTCCCGGTCAAAAACCGAATCCAAACGAACAAGGAAGTGCTTGCACTAACCATAGTGGATGGAGGTTGCACATAATCCGGAGTCAAAAAGGGAGGAAAAGGAAAGAAGGAAGGGATTGAATCCAAAGTATAAAAGAGTGAAAAAATGTCCCTTTTGGACATATTTACAGGAGTCAGGGGATCAATGGCTAGCCCATAACAGCTAGCAGAAGGACTGGAAAAAGATGGAGTACCAAGCGATGTAAAATAGGCTCTCAACCACATTTGAGTGAACCAAAGAGGCCCACTGCCAATGGGAGATGCACCATTCTTCAATTGGGATTGAAGAGAAGCCATGCCTCTATAGAGGGCAGCTAAAAAGAAAGAACATAAATTCAGAGGCCTACCACGTGCCAATTCGTGCGCTATGGGTAAATAGCTCAGGGAGGGCTTTATGCTTGGCACACACAAAATGTATTTACAAAGCCAAATCAAAAGAAAGGCCACTCGCTCAATATGGGAAGGCTCAATTTGCAGGCTTGAATAAGACTCGATGAGGCCTCTATCAAATTTTGGGACGACACCAGAAATCAAAATACCAGGGAAAATGGTATCGCCCAAAGGTGGCAGATTTACTAGGGCCCCAACATCCCTTAAGGTAATGGACATGGGGCCAAGAGGGAAAACAAAAGTATTATACTCAGAAGACCAAAAACTTAAAGTGATTGGAAAAAGTGCTGAATCAAAAACAGGGGGTTGAAGGGAGATTTCTAACAAATCAGAAATCCTAACATTATCAAAAATTGCCTTAGTAGGACCATGGTCCACAAGGCGAGCATGTCATCTACGGAAAACGACATCAGATTTAGGTCAAGTGTGAATACCTCTGTCGCGAAGTGGCCCCAGCGACAAAGAATTTAGAAACGGAGGACCTTGAGTACAAGGGAACAGCTGACCTATAGCCGCTTGTTCGATGGCCTCGACATTGTTGAATAAAGGACCTAAATAGAACTCATTGAGTTCGACATTGGCCGGTGCAAGGAAGTTCATAGTTATATATGGCCGAGTAAGGAGTATCTGAAAGTCTTCGAAGCTGAAGGAGTCACCAGACTGGGATTGTGAAGCAGCCAATAGGGACTAAATAGAGTTTTTCAGAGTTACGTAGCAGAGAAGCAAGAAGATTAACAGTAATATTGCGAGAGAGAAGCGCGAAAAAATAAGGCGTGATTTAGTGGTGCAATGAAATGGCGTATTTAGGGGTTATAAGGGTTTGCAAACGTCGCACATTTTCAAGTTATGGAAGAAAACAATGATTGAAATTCTTGAAAATTTCGAATGCAGGAAAACACAAAGTGAATATGGCAGAAATTAATAATTAGTATTAAATCTGCCATATTGGGGGGTAATTGTTGACACACAAAAAGTTCAGCCCAAGTCGAATAGCCCAAGGAATGAAACTCAATTAGAAGATCCCCAAAATCAAATGGCCCAAAGAACGACCCAATCAGGCAATGCAGGATAAAGGCCCAAATAGGGAAGCCCATGAATGCGGTAATACCATCGCCCAAGGTTACAAGTCGCCCAAGATTTGAGCGAATGGATTGCCATGCAATCGCCCAGAACTGAGCCCCTGTTCTCGCCTAAACCTTCGAGTCGCCCAGGATTTTAGCAAACGTAAAATGTTATGGTTACCCAAAGGTGCGGTTAATAAAGCAATTATTGAGTAACTCTTTCACGTTCCACGATTCAAGGAATTCAATTGAAGATGGTTGAACGACAAAAGTAATGTCAGCAGTTAGAGGAGCAGTTCCATGACAAGTTGGCCACTACGAGGAAAGTGGGCAGTTATTGAGCGATCAAGCAGTTTTTAAGCAGTTGATTACGAAGAAATCATCCATGGAATATAAAAGGAAGAAAAGATATAGAGCAAAGCACCCCAAATCAAACACTCTCAAAAAGAGAATATGTAACTTTAAATTTCTTAGTTTAGATTTAAACACTTCTTTTCAGTAACTCGTGTGCTTGTTCCCCTTGGAGGCATTCTGTCTTTATTTTCCAATTGTAAAGTCATCGCCAATAAAAACGCCCCTTTTTGGGACTTTGTTTCAAGAGGTTTGTCCCTTACACAATCGTCCGATCTCTTTTTAATTGTTAGCGACTAACCCGCGCGAAACAAGTTCATAAAATATTATAAAGATTATAAAGTAGGCTGTACTTCATCTTTTGAAAAAAGAAGGGTTAAATGGTATAATTTCCCCTTTTACCAGGCCAGTCACGAGACGGCCCCGTGCAAAGCTTTGACAAACCAACTCAATTTGCCGCTGTCAATACATTGTGTATTGTGAACTGTATTATATGGTATAAAAAATTTAGTATAAAATTATAATAAATACAAGTAGATGAATGATAACTCGATGAATTAAAGAGGATAGTACTATTTAATGGGCTTTTGTCGTTAAGATTATTGGGGTTTTTTAATGATCATAAACTGGATTGGGCCATGGACGGCACCTAAAGTAAGTGAGCTGTCTTTTTCACACTACTAAGTACTAACAGATAAGACCTGTCCCCAGCTCCATTGACAAAGCACAGAATGTAAATTGACTTATTTTTGGAAAAAAAATGAAAAAAGAAAAAGAAATCCCACTTTTTTCATCACAAAAATTTCAATCAATAACATAATTCCTGTCATCATGATCATGATTGACATAACACCACATACCACATGATACTGTATTATTGAACAATTTTAAACAGGAGTACTTTTGTATTCAATTCAATATCGACTGTCTCTCTACCCATAGCCCATTTTCTTACAAAGTGGCGTGACCCCAAAATTTTTCATATTCGGTGGCTCCATTTCTCTGTAATCCCTCTTTCTCTCTCTAAAACATTCTGTACTCTCTCTCCTCAACTGCTGCCATGTCTTTCAGAGGAGGGGTCAGTTTCCTTTCTAGATCTAAATTTTTTTACTTGGTTAATCTTTTTTAGTACTGGAAAATATATCTTTTATGACGTGTAAGAATTTCTGGGTTTTTATTTTTTGTTTCCATTCTAATGTGTTATTAAGTGTTTTGTGGTAAAAGTTTCAGTTCAATCATAAATGTATTGATCATAGATCTTCATGATTTTAGTTTAGAATTTTATGATTGATTTAGAGATATTGTTACTTTTGGTTTATTTTGCATTTCCTTTCTTTTTAAAATAATTATGTTTTTATTGTTGCGTGTTGGCTTTTAGTTTGAAAAAAAAACAAAAAAACAAAAAAACCAGCTCCAGATTAGACTGCCCAGGCATTGTGGAATTTATTTATTTATTTATTTATTTTTATTGTATTTCGAGGAGGTGACTGGGCCACAAGATGGTTTTTAGATCGTTGGAAAAGGGATAAAGCAAGAAAATTGAGAGTTTTTTGTGAACCCAAATGATAAAACATCCTTACTTTGTTGTTCTTTGGAGTTTGGACTTATGGATTTCGGTTTTTATATAACATCGGTATTGTATTTTTATACATCTGTCTTGGTTCCTGAGAGTTTTGATGGAAACTGAAAATTCAAGCCTGCTAACTTGATTTCTCATGTTGTGTACTATTTATCAAGCTGTCAAATTTAATGGAAGCTTTTCTATGCATTATATTTGTTTTATCGATTTTTCACTGTCTTGTTCTTCTGAGAATTGGTGTATTTTAAAAATAGAGAAATGAATAAGCAATAAGAAAGCTATTGAATTTAGAGTAATTGACGCAAAACATCCCTAAAAAGCTATTGAATGTAGAGTAATTGACGCAAAACATCCCTACCTTTCAGCTTTATTGTGGAAAACGTCCACACCTTTCATTTTTTGGCATTTTTGCCCTCAAATCAACCTTTCGTTGCGATGAAGGTCCTTCCGTCCAAGTTCCATCCATTTTGCCGTTAATTCAAGAGACAAAACCAATTTTTGTCCAGTTCGCAGGGGTAAAACCGCCTCACCCATTGAACCCCTTATTCCCGCCTTCTACGTAGTCCATATATATAACAGTAGCTGAAAGAAAATACTTTAAATTATTACATTAAATAAGGGAAAAAATGTCGTTAATTAAAGAGCATATATAGTGGTGAAATCCGACCATCACTGCTGCTTTTACGTTGTGTTTCTGGAAAAATGTAGTAAGATATATATTGAATGGGTGGTCAATTTATAGAGATGACTGCTAGATGTTTATTTTTAGTTTATGCTTATTGTGACCACAGGGTAAATTGAGGAGATCGAGTGGAAATGGGTGCTGTGAAGTATGTAGTGGTTCTACGTATAAGTTCAATGGTGAATGGCCCATCTTGGCTTATTGGTGAAGATGAACGGGTCCTATTCACTTCTTCTGGGAATCGAATGAACTTTGCGCTAATAATCCCTACGTAGTTATAATTTTGGCTTAAAACATCCCTCCCTATAAAAAGTTTGGCGAGTAAAGTCCCTAACTTTTAGAAATATTTGCTAATAATGTCCCTGCCTTTTAGAAATATTTGCGAATAACATCCCTAACTTTTAGAAAAAATTTGGCGAGAGAATTCCCAGTTTTCTTCCATATACCACCTGTTGATATACACAACTCAAAAGTCCCTAAATACACAACTCTATCACAGAATCTGAGACACAATTCATCCACCAATCAATCGAAAACTGAAACAAAAATATCCACTACCTGCTGAAGCAAAAATAACCGAAAACTGAAGCAAAAATAGATACAATTCATTTCAAATGTGCAAAATATCCACTGTGCAACCAACATAAGTCCTGAACTTGCTACATTCTCCCAGTACATAAATACCAAAAAAGGTTCATAAAGTGTTATATTATATCCACTACATGCAGACAATTTGTGCACTAAATAACAAAAACAAAAGCCAAAAAATTAACAAGTGAACTTGGCAGACGCCAGACAGCTTCATCCTAACAAGGTGCTGGAGGTGGTGCCCCTTTGCAGCCTCTCCTATTGTGTCCTGCTTCACTACACTTCGAACATGCCATTATTAGTCTCGATCTTTTTCGTTGACCTTCCGTTGTTCCTGAAATTGATTGTGAAGTATTAGCATTGCTCTTAGACTGCGTGGACCTCTTCGGTTGACTTGAAGAAGCCACCTCATTCCAATACACTTTCATCACAAGTCCTGTGTAAGAATTTATGCAAATTCTCTCTGTTGCACCATTTAGCATGAAAGAAGTCGACGAAAAGAACGGATCCCACTTCATAAACCACATTGTTTGGCTTATCATAAAATTGGCCTCCATAATGTACTTCGATAGTAAAATATTCAGAGTTACCACCTGCAAGCGATCGTATAAAGTTCACATCAAAATCAACCAACAAATTAGGGAGGACATTGACAGAACTCAATGCAAGAGGACATAACTCCATCGTATGATGTTAACAACCACGTGGACATTGACAGACTCAACTTCAACACTAAAACATGGATATCTTCTATGGCAGCAATACATCAAAAACAGAAAAGCAGGAAATACAACACTAACAACATTCCACTAAAATTTTATAGCTCACTGAAAATAATTAAAGTGACATAACTCAACCTCAACACCAAAACGGGTCC